AATGAAATAGATGGTTTCAGGTACAAGATAAACATTCCTGAGATCAAAAGGATCTTTACAAAGTCCAGATCTTGAAAATAGACAAATGCCAGTGATTTCACACAAGGCCAGGAGAGCGAGTGGCATCAGAATAAACCAGGACGTGGGGTTGTTGCAGCGCACTGGGGCTAAAGGATAGATGAGATCCATTCCTGACATTCCAAGGGTCCACAGTCTGGAGAGGGACACAGAAAAGGGACAGTTATGCTGCAGTGTGTCCTGTTACCCTAGGTCACAGGAGAACAGGAGAGGAAGCCTCATCTGTTGACGGCGCTGGGCACCCAGAGGAGGCACTGGGGGAGGGAGCCAGAGCTGAGACTTGGGCATCTCCTGTAGAGTGTAATTTGGACACAAAAATTAATTTCAAACAAGGCCTGCCCCAGAAAATTTGCAGTGCATGGCTGTCTCACTCCACCAACCTCTCTAGTTTAGTTTTAATTTTGTTTTGTTCTGTTTTGTTTTAAAACAGGGTCTTGCTGTGCAGTTCAGGTTGGGCTTAAACTCACTATGTACCCCAGGCTGGCCTCGAGTTCACAGCAATCCTTCTGCCTCAGCCTCCCAAGTGCTGGAATTACAGGTTTGCGCCACCACACCCAGCCAGCCTCTCTAATGCCTGTCACCGCTGCAGAAGGTGAATCTTTTGGTAGGGTTTTAGTGCCCCAGAATCTGTGAAGCACTAAATTTTCTGCTTGCTCACCTTTGTACAGCAGGCCCTGGTACAGTAGAGGCTGCAGAAGCATGTTGACCTACAGAACTGAATCCCATTCCTGGCCCTTGAAGGAGACGGGATGGGAGCCGGCTCAGCACTTCTGTCAACACCTGCTTTTCCAGGGGTCCTGTCCCCTCCTTATTCTTACCTCGCCTCTTAAACCATTGGAACCATGGAGCAGAGCAATGCTTATTGTCATGTCCTCAGCTTCTTTCTTTAAATACCCTAGTTCAGGGAAGGAGTGGAAGGCAAGGCCAGAGGTGGCGAACCTATGGCACGCATGCCGCACTGGGCACACAGAGCCCTCTGTTGGCGCACAGCAACCACCGTGGTGTTTTTTCTAAACTGCAACCTCAATATGCAGATTTAATTGCAGCGTTGGCAGTAAATAAGTGGGTTTGGATTGCAGTTTGCACACTCGGTCTCTAAAAGTCCTGCCATCACTGCCCTAGGTGCACATCTACAAATGCTGTTGTGTCCCCTCCAGTGACTGTCTCCAGACACCTTACACAGAGACATCTGTAGCTCTGGCCATGGGTGAGGGCTCCCCATCCTGCAGTGACTTTGCTGCCAGAGGGCCCCGAGTGCAGTCTCTGGGTACCCAGGGTGCTGTTGCGGTCATAAGGGAGAATCTGTCACTTGAGCTGTTTCACACTTGTGGAACAAGCACATTTTCAGTTCCTGAAGGATGTCATCATTGGACAGCTTCTTCTCTTGACCTCTTCAAGGAGTTTAAGTTGCCTGGAGAAATAGACTCATAGCAAGCCCAGCGCTCAGTGCCAGGCCTGCCCGTGTGTGTGCATGTGTACCGGGCATGGGTGTGCGTGTTCTTATCAGGCAAGCCTCCAAGCTTTTTCTTCCTCAATTTACACAACCCTGTTTGCTCAGTTAGTGACATAGGCATAAGGCCTGCAGTTCATTAAGATTCAGCTAAAAAGCACAGGGCAGGAACATTCTCATAGTGAGAAACTCTTAACAAGGATCTCCAGCATACATGTGAATTCAGTGAATGCTGAAAACAACATACCTGATCCCATCACCTCAGAAAAATAAATGTGAATGATTTGGCTGGTTTGGCGCAGTTCAATTAGGCGACAGAAACCCTTAACCTGATTCTGGCCTATTAGCCCGAGGACCCAGTGAGAAATGGGGCCGCTTCCCACCACACTCGGCTGTTCCCAAGGCACAGCATGAGCCCCGTTACTCCGGGTACCGACAGCACTGCCTGGGAACATGTGGGCAGGCAGGATGTCATGCCCCTCCCAGACCTGCTGGCCAGTGTCTGCCTTTTAAAAAGTCCTTCAGGGACTCTTGTGCGCATTAAAGTTTGAGAAGTACTGAGCCAGAGAACACGGATTGGACCATCATTTGAGACTTTTCCACTGTCTGCCTTAGTGAGCAGACTCCATGGGCTAGCACTGTTTATGCTCCGCCTGGAATAGACCCGTGTGCCATGTGGGGTTTCCTGGGGGCTTGACAGCACTTGACAGTTCTACTTCTAGTAGCAGCATTCCTCACATCCGATCTGACATAGCCTATACTTTCCTGAGAAATTTTGAATTGGCTCCCAAATGTGCCATAGGATGAAGTAAGTAAATGAGGAAATCATGATTTTTTTTTTTAAACTGTGTCTGTGGGATATAATAGAAAACCAAGGATTATGGTAGCACCCAGAAATGTTTGCCACCAAGTTCTATGTGGTTACTGGTTCTGGGTTACAGACCATTTAGCTCTGAGTTCCCTAGTGATAAACACAAAAGAAACAAACAGTGTGACAAGACTATGGTATTCAACACAGATCTTCTCAGTGCAGTCTAGTGGAAATTTCTTCAACAAACCTTCAAAAGCGGCCAAGAGCACCTGCATTTTCCATCCCAGTATCTCACATAGAGTGTGCATGAACTTTAGTTTTATGTTTATAAGATCCCTGCAGGTAAAAGGACTGCTTTACCCAAGTGCCTCTATCAGAGAGAACTTTTCTTGTTCTTGCTGCTGTCATTTGCTAGTTTGCCCTTTACAGCCTCCTTTTTTTTTTTGGTACCGGGGATCAAACTCAGGACCTTGCACTTTCAACCCAGACGGCGGAACCACTGAGCTAAATCCTCGGCTACAGCTTCCTTTTTTTTGGTTTTTTTTTTTGTATTTTTTTGGTACCAGGGATCGAACTTGGGTCCTTGCGCTTGCGCAGCAGGCGGCGAAACCACTGAGCTAAATCCCCGGCCCTACAGCCTCCTTTTTAATAAACTGCCCCGGCCAGTCCCTTCTTGGGCTGTTCGCACTTGAACCCTCCTCATTATCCCTCATGCAGTCCTGAGGACTAAGCCGAGTGCAGCTCAGCCAGGGTGGCTGCTCCATCGCCTGGATGTTGAATGACCCGTACGTGCCTCACACTGTCTCAGTTCTGGTCCTGCCCACTCCCCAGCTTGTGCCTGCAGTGCTGCAGGGATTAGAAAAAAACAAGGTGCCAGGCCCAGGTTTTCCACTGTTCAGTCCCTCGAAGGTAATTATGTTTTTCCTCTTTGTACTTTGATTTGAGCTAGGATCTCAGTATTTGTCAGGCCTTCGGGTCTTCTTTGGCCTGGACCTCCCCTGGGCATCCTGTGTCAGGTCTACCAGAAGTGTAATCGTCTACACACTTTCTCAGGAAGAGTGTGATCATTTTTCCTACCGTATAATTTAAGAAAATGTTTCTTAAAAAGTCTCAGGGCAAGTTTAACCTCAGGTCAGATGGAGCCCCTCTGTGGGTCTGGAAGACCCCAAGAAGTGAGGCTGACCATGGAAGTGCCTCTCTGCTGGTCACTGGCTCGTGGCCACCCTCCCCTGCTCAGCCAGGCCACTGAGCCTCCTCCCTTGGCCATGCCCACGGTGCTGAGCAAATCCAAACTGAGGCGGCTGTGCCCCAGGCTGGTGGCGGAAGCCGGACCGGCCTCGCCATTACTACTGAGGAAGCCTCCTCACTGCTGCTTTCTGGGTCTTCAGGCACCCTTTCCACCTCCTTAAGGCTGCGGCTGAGATCACTTCATGCTAGGCCAGTACCATGAGCCCTGTGCAGTTCTTGTTTCCTTTCTGAGTCCTGAGTCCTGAGTTTTTTCCTATGAATGGGGAGAATTTTGAGGGAAAGAAAGCCATTCCTAGAAGGCAAATTAAATATACATACGACTTAAAGTATCCATATATTATCCTTTGTGAAGTTCACATCCTTCATGGGGGAAATCATGGATGTGCCAGGACCTCTCAGCATCGGGCGGGGTGACCACTGGGCACATTCCACACACAGGTCTCTGCCCATACTAAGTGTGGTCATTGCTGGTGGTGACCTCCTCCACTCTGTCACCCTCTACCGGAGTCTCTTTCAAGCCCTGCTCACAAGCAGGGGGCCACCTCTGCAAGGGCTTGCTTGTGACCCACATGTCTGCAGATGGTCTTTCACAGGCCTGAAATCCCTCACCCCAGCCAACCCACACAGACGTGCGCCATGTCAACACCCAGCCCTTCAGCACTGAAACCCTTTCTGTCATCTACATTGTCTTCAGGAATCCTTGAGGACAGTGGGTTCAAAACACAAGGCAAAGAAAGACATCTTTGTTAACTAAGGGTATCTAAACTGGAGTGATAAAAGCTACCATACACTGGCCCTGGCCTGGCCCAGGCTGGATACTCTTTGATATGTGGCTCATCTGGTTTCATTTTCAGTAAAGTGTGCGTTGGGCCCTGTCCTCTGAGAGCAGAACCATGGTATTGTGCGTTGCCCCTCAGCAACATGTGGGCCAACAAGACTGCCATGGAGCAAGTTAGATGTCCCCTCTTCCACACAGCAGCAGGCTGATCCTGTGACCCCTTCGGTGGCTGCCAGCTGTCTATTGAAACACGGCAATGGTGTGCTGTTTCGTCTGTAATAGGCACCCTCGCCCCGTCACAGAGCAGGGGTACAGTGCAGGGCTGGGTGGGTCACAGGTGCCCTGCACAGTCATGACGGGGTCTGGAAGTCCTCCAGGAAGTGTGTGAGCATCGGAAGCTCAGGGGCTGCCCAGGGAGAGGTCTGCCTTGGGCCAGCAGCAAGGAAGGACATCAGCGGGACATGGCCATGTCCAGAAGTATGCACTAAACTCTCCCTCACTGCTGGTAACATCAATTTTCTTTAGAAGGAAGGAACTACCATTTCCTGATTGACCATTGCTGTGGGACAAGATCAGAGGCTGCCCGTGGAACCAGCCACATGGCGGTATTAATCCTAGCATTTTTTATTTCTCAGGCAACCTCAGAACCTGTTCTGGATCCACAGCAAACCCAAGCATTTGATCAGCTGTGCCGACTGTACCGAGGAAGTTCCCGGGTAATGTCTGTGTGCTGTTTACACCTGTTTCCCTGTTTATCAGTTGCAGCACAACCTCCTGAGCCCAGAAGGGACCCTGGCACCCTGTTAGGGGCATGTGGCCTCCAGCCCCAGCCCCAGGGAGCACTCAGAAGCTCAAAGGGAGTGGAGGAGTGGAGAGGTTAACTGTCCCTCACCTACACGGGCTGTGAGGGCTCACAAGGCCTGTGTTCGACCTGCCTCAGAGAGAGCGCAGCAGAAGTCTGATTCCTTCCCAGGGAGCTTCTGTTTCTTTTCTTTTCTTTTCTTTTCTTTTCTTTTCTTTTCTTTTCTTTTCTTTTCTTTTCTTAGTACGTATTTGCAATACATGCGTTTACAGTCATCTTAGGGAGTGGTTACATGTACATACTACAGCTTATTTTTTAATCCCCCCCCATTCCCCTATCCCAATTTTCATTCTCGTTGATATTATTAATCTTAGCTGATGTTATGGCATATAGTGTTTCCATGACTAGCACTTCTTTCTTAAGGCCCGGGCCCTTGCAGGCATTTGCATTGGTTGAATTCCTTTGGGCCATGAAAAACATTGCACAAATGCAAAGGGACTGTGGCTTAAACAGATAGACGTGAGAGCACAGATGGCCAGGCGCCTCCCACGGACCTCCCTCCAGGCTTCTGCCTTCTCATGGCTCTGCGTCCTTAGCTTGTAGCTTGTCTGCATTCCAGCTGGCAAGAGGAGGAACGGAAGGCAAGAATAAGCCCTCCCTTCGGTCACTGTCTAGAAGCATCGCACCACCTGCCTGCTCCTACCTCCGTTGACAATCCCGAAGATCCAGGCGATGTGCAGCTGCAGGGGAGGCTGGGAAACCCGTCTTTACTCCGGAAACCATAGCTGAAACGTGGCACCTTCTCCCTGGGAGGACAGAAGAGTGCAAGGGAGGGCCACCGTAGTCACTGTCAGGCCTCTGTGTGTCCCCTGGACACTAAGTGCCTCCGGGTGCCATCCAGTGATGCAGAGCAGATGTGGCAGCTCCCTGGGCTCGTCCCTCAGCCCGTTGCTCTCTGGGGAGGTCCCACAGGCGTCTCCTCCACTTCTCCCTTGCCCTGCAGACTGCCACTGCGCTGGTCAGGCTCCTGCTCACCCAAGGCCACCACGCGCTTCTGACCGGCTAGTAGCCCTGTCCCGCGTCTGTGTAAGCCCGACTGTGGCCTGTTGTCCCCTGCTGGAAACCCATTCCTGCTCTCCCCCACCAAAGGAGGGAGACCCCATCCCTCGCGCTTCCATACCCCGCTCCCGCTCCCCACCTCCACCTGTCCCGGCTGCTCCTGTGCTCTGGCCCCGTGCCACGTCCACCCTCACAGGACACCGAGGATATTGGCGATCCCTTCTCAGTTGGCCGGGGGAGAGATTTTCACTCTAGGAAATGCCCAGCCTCTCCGAGTGGCCCGACCTCACCCGCTGCCTTCCCATCCTCAGCCACACTCCACCCTGAGCCGGGTTCGGGGCCTTCCCAGGGCGCACTCCTGCTTCAGGGCAGAGCCTCCTCCAGCCTGGTGTTTTCCAGTCACTGAGTCACAGCAGGTGAACACACAATGCCTTTCTTCCTAGGAAAGAGGAAACGTTTTCCATGGTCAGTCTCTGGCTCACAGGGTCGGAGAGCAGAGGCATGGGGAGCTCAGTGTCTGTGGCTGCTGTGGTCACTGAGGAAGGGAGCTCCACTCCCGTCGCCTCCCCATGTTTGCTTCCTAGGCTGGCACCTGCCTGGCAACAGTGGGAGCCCTGGCTGTGTCCCCACCCACAGGCAGAGCACCCGCCTGAGAGGCGCTGAGTGTGAAGGTGGCACTGAGCTAGTCCTGAGACAGGAGTACTTTCACAAACTGGCTCTTAGGGGCCTTCAGGTGGCTCTCAGCCACCACAGCCACTGGTAATGTTTGCGGCAAACGTGACCAAAGGGTCATTGCCTGTGACAGAAAGCCTGCTGCCAGAGGTCAGGAAACAGCTGGAGGACAGGGTGGGTGGGCAAGGCACAGGCGACAGACAGCCCCAGAGAAGGCCTGTGGTGGATAACAGGGCTGAGAGGAAACTGCCCATGGGCCTGAGTTCAAATCGCACACTGGGGCTCTTGGCTGGGGGACCTAGGGTGAGTGACTCCATTGGCACAGCCCAGGATCTAACCCAGAGGGTGAATTGGAGCGTTAGAAACACCACATGTGCAAAGTACCAAGCGTGCTGGCATTGGAAGGACACGGGCAGAGCTGCCCGAGGCTGTTGAGGGCTGGCGAGCCCGGCTACCCTCTGTCCAGGCTGGACCCACAGGCCGGCTGTGCGGGCTCCTCAGACCTGGCAGTGGGCACAGCGGCTCCATCGCACGAGTCCTGGCTCCTGTTGCTGGGCCTTGCCCCCGGCCCCGAGTCCCCGCGGGTCAGCTCTGTGGGGCGCGGTGACCCCTCCGTAAGGGATGGAGAAGCAGTGCACACACTCAGTGGGCAGCAAGCCCTAGGCACCCGGAGGGACCGACATCTCACCGTCAAGGGCATCTCCAGGACAAGACAGGCAGGTGCCCAGCTTTTCTTCCAAGGCCTTCTTTTTTTCTTTCTTTTCTACCCAGGGCCTTCTCACTGAGCTCCATCCCAGACCTGTTTTGAGAGAGAGTCTCAATACATTGCTAAGTTGTGCAGGCTAGACTTGCACTTGCCATTCTCCTGCCTCAGCCTCCCAGAGTGCTGGGATCCCAGGGGTGCACCACCACATGCAGAAGCCCTGGGCCTTTCCAGTGCAGGAAGCCACCTTAGCCGGAGGGACGGCAACCAAGGGCAGCCCTGGCTGTGCCCTGCCCTCCCTGGGACAGGCCTTCTGGAACAGAGGTGCTAACAGGACGACAGCATTGCTAGGCCCTCGGCGGTGGACTCCTTGGGAAGAGAAGTGGGACCCTGAGTCTGAAGGGGGCTGAGAATGCCCCATCCAGGTTAGGGAGCAGGGTCGGAGCTAGCGACCGTAGTACAGGGTCACTGGCCCTGCAGGAAACACACCGAGAGGGAGCGTGGGATGAGCAGAGCCAGGATGAGGAGCCCCGCCCAGGCGGTGTCCGAGCCCAGGGAGGCGGTGAAGGTGAGGACACAGCAGCTGAGGGAGGAGCCGCCGGGGTGCGGGTGGGGGCTGGGGCCCCCCGCACTGTTGGAAAGCAGTTTGTGTCCCCAGGGGAGCCTGCTCTCGCCTTCAGCCTTCACCGAGTGAGGCGGTGGGCCTGACGCAGTGCAGTTCACTTGCCCGGAGTCAGCCCGCTGGTTTGTGCAGCAGGACGGACCGTGGGATCTGAACCCCAGCTTTGCACCCCTCTGGCAGGGAGGCAGGCAGTGCAGGGCCCTCCCCGCCTCTCCCGGGCCCCCAGGGCCTCTGTCCCTGCAGCCTGCCTGAAGCGTCCCTTTCTTTGCAGCTGGCGCTCCTGACGGAACTCTCCCAGAACCGAGGCGGCGACAGCTACCGGCCCTTCAGCGGCTCCCAGAGCAGCCCTGCTTTCAACAGCGTCTTCCAGAAGGAGAACTTCCAGCTGCAGCTCGCGCCCCCGCCTGTGACCGAGGACTGACCGAGGCCCCTCTGCCTGAGCCGTGACCCTCAGCACCCACCCCGTCTCTTCCTCAGTGTCGTCCAGCTTCCGCCCACCCAGCTGGCTGGCTTTTCTCTTCCTCGGAACCACATGCCTTCAGCTCTTTAGGAAGGACATTTGCCCTGTGGGACTTTCTCTGTCCCACAGAAGCCCAGAGAGTGAGCGAGGCTCCTTCCGTGGCATTCTGAGTGGGTAAACTGAGGGCAGCAGAGCTGGGCTGGGCCGGGGGTTGCTGGGGTGGGGGGTGGGGGGTGGGCTCCCCCGAGCGAGAGACTTGTCCTTCCCGAGGATAAGCATCCCTGTGTGGGAGGCCTGCAGCCTGGCCAGCAGCCAGGTCTGTGTGTGTCGCCTCATGGAGGCTGCTTAGAGCCCTACTGCCACCTTTGGGTTTTATCAGCTCCAGCTCGGGGCCTTGACTTTGTCCTCAGACAAGCAGCTCGTTGCCGGCCCTGTTCAGAGCCCTGTGGTGGGGACAGAACTGCCACGGAGCAGACACAGACAGCTCTGTGCCCAGGACTTTGTGCATCGCTGCAGCAGGAGCCACGGGAGGGATCCACACACGGAGACCCAGGCTCAGCGCCACCTCTGCAGCCCCCACCGGAGGGTGCAGCGCCAGGGCTGTTGCCAGCCACCCCACGGGAAACGGGCAGGTGAACCACAGGAGCAGAGTGACCAAACAGAAAACAGACCCTGCTTCTGCCACCTGAGCAAGTCAGTACCCTCCCAAGCCTCGGTTTCTTACAGAATAGATCTGTGAAGAGAAGTTAATGAGCCATCTTGCAAATGTGGCGCTGGGCAGCTCCTCCCAGCACAGGGCACCTTTGCTGACACCTCAAGGGCAGCGGTTGGGCACTGAGTGAGTGGTGGTGCCCACCAAGAGTCTCGACCCTGTGGACAGATGAGAAAGCTGAAGCATGGAGGTGATGAGTAATCTAACCAGGTGACACCTGGAGAGGAGGGATTTGAACTCCAAACTGTGATTCCAGTGCTGCCCCGACAAGCGAGTGTGAGAAAGTTCTCAGTGAGCTGAGGGAGCTTGATCTCCTCAGGGTAAAACTTGGTGGCCCTTCTTTCGGTAGCCCAGAGACCTCAGGCGGAGGGGAGGTACAGCATGAAAAGATGTGGGATGGAAAATGTCAGCGTCCATGGACGGATGGAGTAACGGCATACTCAGTTATGCACTCCAGGTGAAGTGGTTAGCATTTGAAGAAAGTGTATATATACCATGGAAAACTGGTCAGCCTTTAAAATAAGGGTATCATGTACTTCCAGGGCGAACTGATGGCCATTAAGTTAAGTGAAATAAGCCAAATAAAAAAGGCAGGTGCTGCATGATCTCACACTCACATGTGGAGTATGAGAAGCCAGACTGTAAAACCGCACTTACCAGAAGCTGGGGTTGGTGGACACACTGGAGAGATGCTCGTGAAAGGACACAAATTTCAGTAAGGAGGGAAAAAGCTCTGGAGCTCCAACTCCTTCATGGCGAGTATGGTTAATAACAAAAGGTATTTGAAATTGCTAGGAAAATTGCTTTCAAGGGTTCTCACCACAGATAAATACGTGAGGTGACACAAATGTTCAGTAGCTTAATTTCACTGTTCCACAGTATACACGTACCTGAACACACATGGTACACACGGTAAATATATACCGTTATTTGTCAGTTAAGAAGGAACCGAGTTACTGCACATCAGAACCCTGTCCCTGTGAGAAGCAGTAAACACCAGCAGATTACTCATGCCAGCCCTTCGCTGGTTAGTCAGTCCCTGAGAGTTGCTTTATTTCTTGTCATTCGAGCCACAGCCCAGTTGAACAAACTGCAGGTCTCTTGGCAGCATTCAGGCCCTGCCTCCCTGAGGATTGCTGAACTGGAGCTGGGCTCTGAGGGCGGGGGAGATGCCGCCTCCTGAGTGCCAGGCCGCTCTGGCCCTGGGCTTGGCAGCCCGTGATGAGAGCCCCAGTCCCTGCCCAGCAAACCTGCCGCTCCCTTCTTCTGGCACTTAGCAGCCGGTCTACCCTGTGGTGACTCAGGGACCCAATTTAGCGCAGTTCCTTAGGGGCAGAGACTGTTTCTTCCAGATCAGCGAACAGTGTTCTGCCTCAGCCCTGGGTGGGCGGTGAGGGCACCCTGGAAGCAGAGCCTTGCTCCTAGGACCCGTGCTGCCCCTTGGCCGTGACAGCTGAGGAGGCGGGGGCCCAGGGACAGGAAGTCCATGTGGGGAGGGCAGAACCCTGGTGCCTAGGGTAGGGGAGCTGATTCCCTGATCAGAACCAGCACTGAGGGGAAAGGGGAAGGCGTTCAGGAAGTTCGGGTGGCCAGGAAAGCAGTGAGCATCACAGCTCCAGCCCCCTCATCCTCCCTCTGGCCTCCGTGTTCTGTCTGATGCCAGGCAGGCCCCACCACTGCTGCCTCACTTCTGTCCCATGAAGGGGACAGAGCTGGGGACCTGCTCCCAGGGGCTGCCCGAGGCTCAGTTGTGCTCGGGTCAAGGATTTGTTTCTTGTTTGTTTTGTTTTTTACTAGTTTATATTATGGTCCTAATTTTTTAAAGTAACGCTAACTTTGTATGTTTGGGTTTTTGGGGGGTTTTTTAGGCACAATGATCTAGTCAGGTTGTTAAGTGAAGGCAGCACTGAAAGGTCATTAATTTGTGTCAGAGGGGTTTTTTCCCCCTCCTCAAAATTATCCCGTTAACACTTTTATTAGAGGACCTGTCTTCTCTTTAAACTGAAGCGATAGTGACTGGAGCAGTCTTGAGTTCTGCTCCGTGCTCTGGTGCAGCTTCGGACAGGTTCTCTGTGAGGCATCCAGTGCCCTGTGGGCCAGCGCTCTGCGTGTCCCGCATCAGTGGGGACACGTCCGTCCCCAGGCAGGGCCCAGCTTTCCCGGAGGTTCCTTCTCTGTGGTTCCATCTTGCTGAAGATCAGGGACGGTCCCGCCCATGAGAGCAGCCTGAACGTTCAAGGCTGGACATGGTCATTGGCTCTGCCCGTCAGGGCCGCTGTCTTGGGGCTGCTGAGCCCGGCTTCTGCCGTGGGCCTCCTGCAGTGAGGGGTGACCTTGGCCACTGGTTTGTGCCTGGACACCAGGTCTTCACTCTTCTGCTGGGAAGAAGTGGGGCTCTCTGTGCTCATCACACCCTGGGTGTCCATATGGACTCGGTATTCCAGTTCGGGTGAACTCCTCAATCCTGACAGTTCCCACTCTTGAGGGCTCTGCCAGCTGCCTGGAAAGGAGCAAGCCCCACTGGCCCACTCCCCTGCAAGTCCAGCGAGCTGCCCAGGAGTGGCACAGAGGAGGCCCTGCTGACCAGTGTTTTCTGGGGTGGTTCCTCGTGCTTGTTCCCCTCTACAGTCACAGAGACGTGCCTGGTGCCATCCTCTGACAGCGGCCTGCCAGGACCTGGATGGGCTCCTGGGAGTGAAATGCAGACCCTCTGTCCTTCAAACTCTTCCTCATCACTGGCATCATTGGCATCATAGCAGCCCACCTTCCTCCGGCTGGTGAGCAGTAAATTGAGTGCCTGGCATCTGTGGCCCAGCTGAAAATCATTACCCTCAGCTTCCCCGCCCCCTCCCCGCCCACTGTGCTCGGTCATCCCCGGGTCACATACTGCTGGCTGCTGTGGACACAAAGTGACCAACACACTGTCTCCCTGGCTGGCGTTTAAATCGGGGGTGCATAGGCTAAGCAGAAAACACCCCCAGGGCTCTGTCAACACCTGTTATTTTGATAGTCCATTAAAAAGTGGCTCGGATTTTTCATGCCCTCAGTTTGTGCCTTTGTCCACTCCCCCTGTGTCACTGTCCCTCCAGCTGCCTTCACAGTAGAATCGTCCTGGCCTTTCATGCGGGGTTGTTGTGTTCAGGTGCCACTTTTCACGGCCTCCCTTTTCCATCCCTGTTTCCTTTTACATTTTATCTAGACAGAGATTTTGTTCTTTGTATATTAAAACAGGCTGGGGTGTAGCTCAGCGATGGAGCCCGTGCCTAACATGCTCCACGCCCTGAGTTGAGTGCCTCTACTGCCAGAAGAAAACAAACCTCTGCTCCTTCAGCGGTGCATCACTTCCCACCAGGTGCTATCAGTATGTGGCCCCTCCAAGAGGCAGGTGCTAAAACATAAAGGCCAGCATGAGGGCGGAGCGCTGAAGCCTTTTAAAGGCAGTCAGGCCACGAGGGCCCACCTGTGCGAAGGGGCGTCAGGCTGTGGAACCGGCACTCTCCCACCATGAGGGCCCAGCCTTCCGCTCCTCGGGCCGGTGTGCAGCCATGCGGCGCCATCTTGGAGACGGAGAGCGGCTGTCCGCCCCAGTGACTCCCCAGCCTCCAGACCTGTGAGAAACCAAGTTTTTCTTCTTCATAAATTACCCTGTTGTCAGATACCTTGGTAAAGCAGCCCCAAACAGCCTAGGAGCCAGGTTTACAGGTGAGTGCTCATCTTTAACTTGTGGGCAGCTTATTGAAAGGCACAGCATGAAGCTTGCATCCAGGTTGCCTTTCCTCCCTGTTGTGGTCTCTGACCTAATACTGACCAGGGACTGAGCTACTGAGGCCTTAGTTGCTCCTAGCTAGGAGGGGTGTCGTGCTGGATTCCTTCCGGGCTCAGGGCTCCCTCCGAGCTTCTGGCAGGTTATGGGGCCCTCGGTCCAAGGGGCTCTGGCAAGGACTGCAGCTGACCTAGGCCTCCACTGTGCCAGGGACCCAAGCCACACCTGGCTCCAGGTTCTAGGTGTGTAGCAGAACTGTGTGGCATCGGCTGGATAGCCATGCAGCACTGGAGCAAGTGAAGTGCCACCAGAGTTAATCACTGCTGTCCTCTGTCCTGCCCAGCTGCCTACCCCTGCATAAATGAGGGCAAACCTGGCCTGGTCTTAACACCCTCTTCCTGAGCAGCCCCAGCTGCAGGCACCTGTTCCTGTCCTCCCTAGTAACCTGGGGACAGTAGCTGTTGTCTCCATCCTCCTCAGAGGCCACTGGGCTCAGGGTTCCCAGCTGGTGAGTTATGGGTGGAGCCTGGGGGCATCTGACTCCATTTTCACCTGGGGACAGACAGCGTAGGCCTCTCCGGGACAAGGACTGCTCCTGCAGGCTGGCCACATGGAGGAAGGACAAGGCTTCCTTCCAAGCCGGTGCAGAGGTGGGGGCAAGAAGCATCCCTCCAGGGTACCAGGAGGAAAGAAACCAACCTGCTATACCTGGGGCCACACTGGGAGCATGTGAGAGCCCCCAGAGTGCACTTTGAGGGGCCAGGTTGTAATCTGTAGTACATTTAGGGGAAACCAGAGGCCCCCAGAAGGGCTAGCAGTCGAGGAGGGCGCTGGTTGTGGCCAAGCTGGGAGGACACAGCCTTGGTAGCTAAAGGCCTCTCCCCAGCCCGAGGGACCTGCCTTCCCAGGCCCTGGGTCAGTGCGATGCCAACGATGCTGGCCTCTGTCATCGTGCAAGATGTGGACCGGTCCAGAGGGAGGGGAGGGTCCTCGGGAAGTAACTGGTGTGTCCCCTCCCGTCCCTGCGTGGGGCGAAGCGGTGCCCGGGTCAGATGTGGCCCCTCCTCTCGAGGGGGGCAAGGAAATAACTGCACAGATAGCGCCAGCGGAAGCTTGCACCCTAGCGGTTATATGGTGGAGCGGAGGGAAGGACAGGAGCCTGTGTGGAGCTTTGCCTTGCTTTGTCATTTTGACCCGTCCACCCTGTTCCTGGTAAGTTCTCTGTTAGTCACTACTGATGCCACAGATGCCACAGAAATCGGAGCAGATCCCCATAGGACAGAAGCAGAGGCTTCACTGTTGGGTCAGTGAATCCTGCAATCCAGGGAGGCTTGGGGCTCGGCCACCCGGACACCGCCGCCCTGGGCCAGGGCTGGAAGCAGAGGGAGGAAAGGACAGGAAGCCCTGGGCTCGGGCATGGCGCTCTGGTCCCCCGGAATCAGGGCCGAGCCACATGGGATGGACACGGACAGGACGTGGCAGTGCAGGGCAGGTTGGTGGAAGAGGTCAGGCTTGTCCTGCCTGAGGATGTAACAGGAGGTCGACAGTGGGCTGAGTGGAGCCCATTCCTGGGGAGCACCTGCAGATGATGCCCTATCCTGTCCCCAAAGTCAGCCTCGGTCTTGGGTACCTCAGAAGCCGAAGCACTAACTTTGCTTGTCATTGTCCTTATTGAGGAGGCATTTTTGTGGAAAGGGGTGGATGGTGCAGGTCCCCCCTCGGTGTCACCAGGTTGTGGGGAGCAGAGCTGGGGGCGCCCCCTGGAGCCCCAGCCTGTTGGGCTCCCAGCTGCCTGGAGGGACCCGCTCGCCCTGAGCTCCTCCCTGCTCTCCGAGAGGCGCACGGACCGCCCGCCAGGCACACCCCGCACTGCCGCCTCTGCAGAGCTCTGCGGACGTGGGCCAGCACTTGGCGAAGGTCACCCGCGACCACCCAGAGCCTGCTGTGGTGAGGGGCAGGAAGGAGTTTGTGGAGAGAAGCGCGGGGGTGGGGGGGACCTCGGCAATGAGGAATGCTTAGCAAATAAATAATTCAGAGCCTCGGAATCCTTTTAGAAGCAGTATTTCCACTCGGCTTTGCCTGCTGAAAATATTTTCCCAAAGGTGCAGCTGCAGAACCACGTGCCTGGGCTGGGAGAGCAGGAAAGGCCTCCCGCGGAGTCGGGTCCAGGTCTGGCCTGCTGAGCCCCAGCCAGCAGCCCGCCCAGGGGTGCAGCGTCATTTACTCCAGGCCTTCGCACTGCCCCTCCTCCCCACCCGCAGCCTCCAGTGCCTTCCTCAGGTGGGGCCAGGTTGCGCTCGCCTTGCCCTTGTCCACGTGCCCACGGGAGCGCCCGCACAGCGGCACTGAGGCCGGGTAGTTTGGCTCGCTCCTGTGTCCTCCCGGCACAGTCAGCAGTTAGTCACTGAGTGCCAAGTAGATGCCAGGCTCTGCTTGAGACAGAATAGGGCTCCCATCTTTTCCTCAGTCACTGTCTTCTCCAAGTAACTTTCGTGGCCAGCGATATTCGCAAACCACATGTCCAGCTGGACCCACTCACGGTCCAAAGCCCTGTATGACCAGCCCCCAGCTCAAGCACGTAGGAATGACCTGCACCTCACGTGTTCCCCAGGTTCTCCCTTCATCTTCCAAGTTCACCAATACCCTGCAGTCTTTTCACGGCAGGCGTTGTTTCTCGTGTTCTGAATTCCGTATCAGTGGAATTACACGCCACATGCTCTTCAGAATGGCTCCGTCGTCCAACACCATGCTCGTGTGAGTTACTGTCACGCGCTCTCACCTCGGAACGGTGTTCCACTGTGTGACTGTACTGTTACTCCTCCATCGCAAGGTGCCCTTTACCATTCGTCATTCCTACTGTGTTTTGGTTGAAGTATGCGTGCATTTTTGTTAGGTATACAGTTGGGAATGACTGCAGGGTCAAGGACAGGTATGCTTAGTACCTTGGGGGGGTACTGGAGCCTGAACCCAGGGCCTTTACACTGAGCGACATACCCAGCACTCCCCCCTTTATTGAGACAGTCTTGCTAAGTTGCTCAGGCTGAGCTCGAGCTTGTGACCTTCCCATCTCAGCCTCCCCGAGTGTGGGTACTACAGGAATGTGCAGCCACCCTGAACAGATTTTTGAGTGGCCCCCTGAACAGATGTCTGTGTCTTCAGAGGGAAGGGCACGGCAGGAGCTGGGTCATACACCACCTCTCACTAATCTTTCCCGAGCTTGGCTCTACACGCAGGGCGGGCTCCAGCAGCATCTGCCTCCTGTCCCTACCTCAGCCAAGGCATAGTCAGTGCCAGGGCCCAGCAGGGTCTGCTGTTCAGCTGGGGGGCCAGGGCTTTGAGGTGCTGAGGCCCCCATAACCCTAAGCCAGTAGCTCAGTGCCATTCCTGACACCTATTCCTCAGAACTCGGCCTAGTGTGCATCGCAGAGATCAAGATTTGGTCTTCATAGTATTGGGGGGCCACATCCTCTCCCTTAGCAAACTAGGGTCCTCATGGTTCACGTATCTGACCTCTTCTCTAGAAGCTTGAGTTGGCCTTCACCCCCCAACAACCCCCAGCCTCCTGTCACCGCCAGCTGTGCTGGCGGCATCCAGCCGGCTCCCTCCACGTGCACCTGCTGACCTTGCCACTGCCCACTGGGTCCCTCCGAGGGGCTGGCATGGGGCAGAACGAGGGGCCCAGACAGGTATTGGGGAACACAGGGCATCTCCCAGAATTGAGGGTCTCTCTGTGACCCGTGTATGTGCTGAATATGGGAAGAACCTAAGTCTGTGGGGGTGGAACTGACCCCACGAGGAGCCGAAAGGTCCCTGGTAAGTTCTACTGGACCTGGTGATCATATGGTGTCATCTCGGTGACTGGTCCAGAGACCCCCATACTGGCTGCAGTCACCTAGGGCCCTGGGTTCTTTGGGGAATCCAAATGCCTGGTGTCCTCCATAAGCCCTGGGCAGCTTCTAAAATCATGCTGGGGTCACCCCATTATTCTGGATTCCAGGTATAACAGGCTGTGTCCCCCCGTGCCAGGCACAGCCAGGCCTTGGTGAAGCTGCCCTCCAGATTATCAGGTAGCCCCAGGGTGGCCTTGCCAATAGACCCACATGGCTTTTCCAGGTCTTCTTGCACACAAATGGATGTGGCTACATTTGCTGTGTGGATACTGGCATCAGAGCTGACAGGCAGACTGTAAATGTGAGGGTGGAAATTCAGCCCTGCATTTACTGCATAGGGCCTGGTTCCGGCAGATAGAAAATGCCCACAGTGGGGTGATCAGACCCAGTCCCCTAGGGCAGCCTGGCCTCAGAAGTGATGGGAGGTGGGGGACAGGAGAGCAGCTGGTGTCAAGGGCCCCGGTAGGGCAGGAAGCGGGGAGATGGGAGCAGCTAAGACCTGAGCCCAATTCCCACGAAGGCGTTTCAGGTCTGAGCACTGCACTGAGCACCAGGCAGTTGGGGCAGGCAAGACTGGCCCGGGGCCAGGGCCAGCTGCAGTACTAGGCAGAGCTGGGGCGCCCTCGCTGCCCCGTTTCGGCTGGGCCGGCCTCCCGATGGGTGGGCCTGGGGGTGAGGTGACGGCCTCACCTTGGGGTGCAGACAGATAAGGGGAACAGCAGTGGGTCTGACTCAGTAGGGGACTGGGTGTCAGCAGGCTTTGGAGCTCTGGCTCTGCTCCCACCTGCTGAGACCGTTGCAGCTGTGACTCGTGACAGAACCCAGGCCTGCTCCCCGGTCGCTGGCTGTGATTGAGAAGCTGCCACCACGGGAATGGTCCCTGACCACAGGCTGCTGTGTTTCTTGGGTCCGTGATGCTGTAGGGTTTGTCATCTTGCAGGGAAGCTCCAGATCTGTCCTGGAGAAATCATTTGGGTTTTATACCAGGTGACAGGCTAGGGGTCAGGGCTCAGATGTCCCCCCAGAAAACCCCAGCTGTCTGATCTCCCACCTCCAGATTTGCAGGGAGTCAAGCCAAGGGTGAGACAGCCGGGAAGACTCACCTGGCCACAAATGTCCCAGCCACATCTGGGGCACCTGGGATGGGAGCTGGCTCTCCCAGGACACGGCCTGGTCTTTGTCCCTTCCAGCAGGGACGCCCGCGGCGGGTGTGGCCCCTGCCTGGACTCTCCACTTGCACCCACAGACTCCAGGAAACTGGCTTCCTCCCTCAGAAAGGTCTGAGGACTTTCTAGCTTCAAAGTGACTGACTAGGTTGTTTGATTATAAAAGAAATACGGATTCAGTTTAGAAAACTAAAAAAGTCGTCATAAAAACACTTAGTATCTTGGCATATTTACTTTGCCTTTTTACTTGTATTTCTATCAACTTCCTGTATCTCCGTGGTTCAGAAAAACTGTACTCGACCTCTCCTTGCCTCTCCTTGCATCCTGCTGCAGCAAGACAGCCCCACGGTCCCCATCTTGGTCCCGTCCCTGAGCCCTGGCGGGGTGGGACAGCAAGTTCCCAGTGACTGAGCTGTGATGATGAGACGCTAACTTAAAGTCATGGCAGAATTAAAGTATGTGTAGTCAGCACTGCAAGAGGCTACAATAAGATGCCTTCTAGAACTCAGCCACACAGTTATGTGGAATTAAATTAGTAGAATGCACACACAGTGGATGGGATTAGCTGCCGGCAGGAGTCACTTCAGGGGACAAGCTATCTTTGTGAGATACAAAGAGCTGGCCCAGAGAGCTATGGAGATGTGATTGACTCAGGAGCAGCAACAGCCTGACGCAGGCAGAGATCTGCAGAAACATGGGTGTGGGTGCATGTGTGCACGCGTGTGTGTCAGGGAAGGGCTGGGTGGAGCACAGAAGAGGGGCACTGCTCCAACACTGTGTGGAGCAGCTGCACTGAGAGGAGCCACCACGTGGTGGCAAGGTGTTCGCTGGCTTGGGGACAATAATGTAGGCTGAGGGCCCAAAGTGTGGGGACCCCTCCGCCCACGTCCTGGGTTCAAATCTAATTCCCAAATGACTAGCACTGCCACTGTGAAGCCTACACATAGAAAGCAGAAAGCGGCTGCTGAGCACTGGTCACTAGTATTAATGGTGGTATCATTACTGCTCATGTACTTAGCAGTCTCTCAGGAGGCTGCTGAGCGGCTGCTGACCCCAGAAGCTGTTCTGGGTGTGCTACACAGAAACCCTCTGGACGTGCCATGCTGGGGCTGAGCCCTGGGCACCCCAGTGACTCTCAAGCGGCCCTGGGGACCCCAAGGCCTCATGGGCCTGCAGCCTCCCCTGTGCACAACCCGCAGCTAGAATGTCTTACGCGGCTCATGTGAAATAAATGCCAGTTGTGGGGGAATTTGTTTTATTCAATGTAAACCTAATGTAGCCAACAGAAAAAGTTCTTACTACAAAGGGTGCTGGAAGTTCTGGGAGTCTGAATGGTGACCGTGAGCACACTGGGTAACAGCTGCCTGTTCTTCGTAAAGTTCAAATGGGGGAAGGAGCAGAAATTGCTTATTTCTTAGCACATAGTAAATGCCTGCCGTGTGGGCTTTTGTTTTTAGCTTACCTTGCAGTTGTTTAAATCTGACAGAACTCTCCTATGGGGGGGCGCATTTCAAACTCCAGAACAGCAGATTTGTTCTGATACAAAAGAAAATCACATTTATTTTGCACGGCAATATTTTCCTAAAGTATTACACATGAAAGTTGAGCTGTCTTAGGAAAACAATATAATTTTAGGAAATTACAGAAGAGTCGACATTGTGCTTAAAACTTTATAACAGACAGTTTTAAAAAATAGCACAGTAAGTGAATATTGCATGGTATGAACAGCTCCACACCGCATCTGTGAACACAAAGATCCCGAAGCTCCGCACTCACCCCTCTGTGATGGGCTGGAAGCCAGGAGCGGGAAGAGCCCTGCTCCACCGGAAACGGCTCAGTGCAGACTCAAGCTCGGTCGGTCACCACAGTTGCCAGAAGGTGCGGTGGCAGCATTGTCAAATGGTGAATCAATTTTAATGAGTGCCCTTTTACTGATGTTTGGACCTGAGACAGGCTGACAGACCTGGAACGCGCAGCTCATCCGCCTTCTCCCCTCCTCGGTGGGAAGAGCAGCACATACACACGCCCCAAGCCTGAAGCAGAAATGGTCCTTCCAGTTCCTGTTCACACCACCTCTGGGCAAGGGGTACAAATGGTTCAGTTGTTTTCCTCAAGTGAAAAGCCAAAATGGGACAAGAAAATGGTGCAAACAGGATGTATCGGGAATAATCAAGAGCCAACTATAAATACTACTTTGTTCAACTTGTGCTTTTCCTTGCCTAGTAGTATCTACAGTGCCAAACTCATCAGGGTATTCTGACAGCTTTCTGAACTAGCTGGTTGCATCTTCTTCCCCAAACAGAGTATTAAATTTGCATAAGAGGAGTTCGTTATTATCAGTCCTAAACCTGTCATGTTTCACGTAGACCAGGAAATAGAGGTTAAGAAGTAAAGCTACCATTTCCAAGATGATTCAACTCCAAAATATGTCAGGAAACAACTATGTGGTTTTGTTCTGGTCTTGTGTATTCCCTTGCAATGCAAGTCAACTTTTTTTAAGATTTCCTCAAACTTCCTTAAATTTATACCTTAAAATTATAATGTAAAAAAATACCTAGATTTGATATTAAAGCCTTAAATGTACTAAATGGTTATAATCACAAAAGCATTTTTCAAGTTTAAATTCTAAAATCCTGGTTAGATAAAGAAAGCTAAATTCCACAGTTGGAGGAATCAACTTTCTAAAGGGGGGATAGTGCCAGTCTGCACAAACGCCCAAGAGAGCAGTTCATCTATCCACACGGCCCGCCCTGTGCTCCAAGTGAGCATTCTAGGTCCAAATGATAAAGCTATTGCATCTCACTGTACAGGTATTAATCAAAAGCCATTAACATGACTGTGCTTAATGTCTATAGTACACACTGCAGTCTATTTCTAAAGTGCCTATAAATATGCTTATGCAAATTAGCAATATAATCAGGATTATAGAGAAATTCCTTTATATATGGAACAGAATAGGCCTAGGATTTAAGTTGAAAGTACACACTTTTATATCCTTAGTACATTTCAGAATGGAAGCATAAACAAGTCCAGTTCAATCATATTTCAGAGAATTATTAGTATTAACAGTGCTAGGACAAAAGGAATTCTTGCTTGTGCTTATTTAGAAAAGGCTGTTTTGAGATCCAGGAGTTTCTAATATTTAGAAACCTATGGAACATCTCTAATTCTATAAAATATTAAGTGAAGCTCAGTGAGTTTTAATTGTAAAGAGATTGTGCAAATATTTAAAGTGATTACAACCATTATTAAATCCAAAAATTCCATTAAAATTGTGGCTACTCTGAGTGGCAGTTCGAGAGGTTAAAAAACAGGAACCCGGACAAAAGTCACCAATATTACTACTGAAGGGCCCAAGGGTAACGCAAAGCACGCACTCGCATTTCTATGGCTTGAAGACTCCACTGTTGACTCTACTTAGTCTAACAGGTGTGAGTGTGGGCCCAGAATAGAAAACCCTTGGGGATGGTGTGGAGAAGACCCCACTGCAGCCGCCCTGGGGACTCCACGCCCGCCTAGTGGAGGGTTAGACAGGACACAGGGTTGCGGGGACAGCCCCAAGCTTGTAAGACCACGCGGCTGCGCCTCAGCTTCCCTGCCCGCCGTCCTCCAGCCCCTCTCCCAAGGGCGGCACAAGAGCCTCAGGTGAGGCTCCTGAGACAGGCCCAGGCCCAGGGCGGCAGGGAAACGGGGGTCCATCTGCCCTCTCTGCCTCACGTCCCTGAGGCTCCTCTCATCACCACCTTGGCTTGACTTTTTGGGTCTAAATTTCAGTAAGTGGGAACCTTATGCTACTGTCTCGTCTAGCACAGAAAATCTTAACTGTTTTCAAAGGAAACACATACTCTGCCTTGCAAACCCTATGCATGCTTTGGGGACCTTAACCTAACAACATTTCAGCTGTATATACAACTAGGAAAGCGGCTTCTTCCTCGAGTGGTTTGAAGAATACCAAAGGGAGGCTTCAGGGAAGAATGCCACGAGCCTCCACTGCTTTCCTAACTACAACCTGCAGCGACACAGAAGAGATGTGTCACAATGCTGACAGAGCCCAAGATGTGCCACAGGAACGTGCCGACAGAGAGCTAGGATCTAAGAAGTGTTTCTCTTCCACTTGGTGGTTCTCGTTTCATCAGGCCATATTTAAAACTTCCCAGACTCTTAACTATGCCTCATGTATAGAAGATTTGGAGAAATGGCAGGAAACGAACTAACATGGTATAAATGGAGATTAGGAGTAAAATTCTGAAGAGAAAGAAATAAAAAATTATTCACTATTTTTTGCATATGAAAGAAAACATATACAATGGATCGTGAATATTAGTGAAGTTATTACACAAAATATTTTCTCCTGACTTAGCAGTGAACTATTTCAACTGCTTGTGCATTGCATTAAAAAATCCATGCATCATACTGAATTCTAATCCATTTCTCACCTAAAGCCATTCTAATGCTTCATACAACCAAATGAAGCAGAATTAATCAAACCTATTAGATTCATTCCTAATTCCTATAGGACTTGTCTTTTAGCATTTCCATGCTAACTAAAACTATTGTTTTAAGATGTCAAATGTGGCTGCCTCCTAAATACAATACCTACAGAAATTCCTAAAAGATTTCCTCAGATTTGAAGAACAATTAAGAAAAGCAGGGACAATGAGGAACCCACCCGAGAGGCCAACTCAAATGTCACAGCCGAAGCCAAGTCCATCTGTCCTTCCCCTGGGCTCCCAGGGCACTGTGGGTACCGCTAGGTGTCAGATTGAGGGCCCCTGCCAGTGGGAATCAGGTCTGACACCTTCTGTATCCCCACAGCCTCCTGCAGTGTGCAGACACTCAGCTGCAGCTGAAGTGAGCCCGGAACTGAAGAGTTCTCTCGCTAAACATGAAGGTCTAGCTCAGCCCTGTATGGAGGGCTACGCAGACACTGGTCATCACCAGAAGCCGAACTGTCCTCCAGGAAGCTCCCAGAGGAAGTGGGGCGCCTCTGGTCTAGACCCAGGACAGGAGGGAGGGAGAAGGGGAAAGGGAAGGAATGGCACTGACCGTGAGCTGCCTCCCCCATGGGGCTAGCAGGACTGGGCCGCAAGAGTCTTTCTGCAAAGGACTGGCTATTTGGGGAATAGGGTCATGTTTACCCTGGGTGGCTCCTGTATCTGATCCATGATACTCTCTGATCACCACTTCGCTGCTTTCAAAAGTTCCCAGTGAAATTAAGGCTGGGTCGAAATTCGTGACACCAGATGCTACACAGAAAGTAAGTCAAGATACAAAAGAAAACTGCTGGTAATAAAAAGGTCTGAGTTATAAGACTAATTTAAGAGTGCCACTAATCAGCAGACCACCAAACTGCTATGGTGGGTAGAGAGGGGTAGAAAACACCATTGGAAAAGGATCCATCAGACAAAAGTACAAAAGCTCGCCGTGGACTGGAGCCCGCTCCTCCCCGGACTCACACCGTGGTTTCCATGGTTTCAATCACTTCCAGGTCAGACTGCGATGGCGAAAGAAGGGTGCACTCGTCTGGCTCCCAGCTGCTCTCTGGACTGTAGTCCTCCTCTGAGCTCAGCTCTGCTCCTTCTTCCGTGTCCTCATCACATGACTCCACATAGTGAGCTCCAATCGCATTGATCCCAGAGTCCTCAGAACTGGAGGGGGAAGAGCACTGATCGATTTTTGGTGTATTGCTCGCTTCGGAATTTAAGGCATCGTGTGCAGAGACCTCCGGGCTCGTCTTGCGGGAGTGCGGCGCCGGCTGCTTCTGCACGTAGCACATCTTCCCGTTAATGCACTTCACCTGGTAGTTGTCAATGAAGAGGTCTGAGATCATGCAGTACCTTGGCGAGTCAGGGGGAAGGGGAGGCTGGAAGACAGAAGCGAATTTCAGAAAGTGTTCGGTGAGCGACACTGAGATCTGAATGGTGTTTGCGGGTTCGAGGGGCCCTGCGGGGATCTCGGTGCTCGGGAGCTGCTCCACGGGGGTCATGGGCTGATATACATATTTGCCTGTGGGACACAGAAGACACAGGTGAAGTCTAAGTGCTACACAAACCGCGTTAACACACTTGTAATCATTTCCTTCTGATGACTCAATGTTTAAAAAACTATTTCAGTAACATCTCAAAAGAAACGAGTCATAGTCATTCAACACTGTTATAATCCACTTAAAAAGCATGGTGTACAGATAACATTACCCCTCTGAGAAACTCAACAGACTTCCCAGGCTTTGAGTTGTTCTAATGCCTCTGGAGGAGCTGGCATGGATACTACAGTCCTTATTTTACACACAACATTAAATGATTCACTACCATACCAGAGCAAGGAACAGCCATCGGATGGGATGGTAAAAACACAGTCGTAAACTGGTGGTACTACACTATAAAATTATAACTCCATTTTAATCTTTAATGCAAAGTTAATATATACATTTAAAACCTGGAAGAATATATACCAATTTATCACCAGAATCACATAGGACATTCACTTTCTAGGTTTCTGGTTTTTGTTGTTGGTGCTAGGAATCAAACCCAGGGCTTTGAACATGCTAAGCAGCCAGGTCTACCATGGAGCCACCCTGGGCCCTAGGTTCGTACGTTTCATCAGATCCCACAGATTTCTGGGCCTGCATCAGGGTGAGGGTAAGTATCTCTCTCAAGACCCAGAGCGCACCTGTGCCTAAGGCAGAGGCATTCTCCGGACTCCAGTGTGGTAAGCGAGCAGACACGGGCCCAGGTACATGCAGGGCCACCTGCTGGTGTCGGCAGGAAACCACGCGGGTCCTGCTCAGCCTTCAACCACTTCACAGTTCACACGGCAGTGAGACCTACATGGGTCTGGTCCTAATTCTCTCTACTTCATTTCACATGGAGCAAAGCCTCCCTTGTGCCAAGTGCTAGGGAAACAGTTGAAAACTGCCCAGTCTATAACTCTCAAATGACTTTAAAATTTTAAAAAACTAAAGGGAAGAAATTGCCTCCCCAAATCCCAAGGTAAACAGCCACTACTGTGGGTACCATCCTGGACTTTTCCTAATTTAGATGAACTGTTGTCAGTTGGCCCAAGCTGCGTCTGCTGCACATTCTGAGAGAGCTCTGTGGCCCTGTGCGGCTGGCGTTTGGGCTCCGACGGTTGTGTGTGGGGGGGGCAGCATCCTATGCCCTGAAGGGTATTTGGCAGGATCCCTGGCTTCTTCCCACCTGCTAGAAGCCAGCTGCAGCTCCCCCAAGCATGAGACTCTAATCTGTGTGCAGACACTGCTCAACAGCCCCAGGAGGGCAACTGCCTCCCGGCTGGGAGTCACAATGTGTGGTGTCCTTGTGGGACAAATCACTCATCATGCATGTCATTTGCTCCTGTTTGGTTTCTTGGTCAGATTGAAAAAATCCTCATGTGAATCACATTTGTAATGAAACCATCTTAGGTGCCTTTTTCAACTGTTAATTTATTCATGGAAGAATAGAGATTTCAGGTCGGGAACAAAGTGGTACTCTGTGCCACAAATCACACACCATCAGCAATCTACGAACATCAGCCAGCCTACTTGTGTTTTTTATTTTGGTTTCCCGATTCCTGAACCCAAAATGAACAAACCAACCTTAGATGTCACAATTCCTTTCTAATTAAGTTACTCTAAAAATAGCTTCAGCTTCACCCTGGAATACCACGTGGAAAAGGCACTTTTAAAATCCAAAGAGTGTGCTACGCCTTCAGGTTCCCAGGTGTCTCCAAACCTGGACAGATGTCACGTAAACCCTACAGTGTGGTAAAAATGCCAGAGGAGCCCACTTGCACCCACCCAGGAACCGTGCTTAGGATGTATGGGGGCAGGGCCCCTGCCTCGAAAGTGTGGACGGACAGGAGGCAGCCTTCCCACCGCCCCAGCCTCGGGATTTGAGTGAGGAGGTCTGGACACTGGATGGAGCAGAAACTCGGGGAAAGACCCTGTCCTGTCCACAGCATGGTGAACAGAATGACCGGAATGGCTGTCTGGCCCTTCTATTCTTGGCCAGAGGTTACTGAGCTCAGGGGGCTGCGGACAGCAGGCGTTCAAGAAATACTTGTTGCAGAAGGCAGACCAAGTTCACTGGACCATAGCTGATCTCTGTCACAGCCGGAGGAGCATCCTGGCAGCTGATCCCTACCTTCTAGAACCATCCTCAGTTGCAGAGGGAGCAGGGCGTCGCTCCAGACATGGAGGGAAGAAGGGAGCCTGACTCGGGGACGTCTCCATTCTCCCTCTCACTCACCCTCCACCCCACTCTTTCCTCCTCCTGTGCTGCTTCCTACCCTTTCTTTGGTTTCTTTCCTCTTGGTTCTTCTACCTCTTTTCACCGGCCCTCTCTCCTCCCTTGGAGTGTGGTGCTATGGGATGAATGCTGTGTCCCTCCTACCCCCACCAGGATTTGTATGTGGAAGGCCCAGTGCAGTGGCATCTGGAGGTGAGGTTCTGAGAGGTACTGAGTTTAAATGAGTCCCGAGGAGGGAGCCCCCACAATGAGTCTGGTGCCCTTAGCAGAGCCTCTGCCTTCCAGTGACGATCCACACCGAGGGCCCTCACTGGACACTGAATCTGCCAGCACCTTGATTTCAGACTCGCCGGCCTCCGCAGGGTGAGAAATGTTCGCTGGTTAGGCCGTCGAGTCTGGCTTAGTACTAGAGCAGTCTGAACTGACCAAGACATGCAGGGAGAGAGATGCAGCGGAGGGGAGGAGGGCATGCCGTGCAGGCCGGATCCCATCTCCTTGTGCAGGGTGCACCCGCCAAATATGCTTACTTGGAGCTGGTGTCAGATACCGTGATCTGGGGATACAGACAAAAAGAAGGGAGAGAAGAAGAGTAGAGAGGGCACATAAGGAACCTTCTACTGTGACTGTTGTATAATGCTGTTAGGGCTTCTACCTGGACGGCCCCCAAAGCCTCATCCGCTCACAGGTGGGGCTTTGGGGAGTGACCGGATTGAGGCCCTGTGATGCTGGGCCGGCCCGCTGCTGGCTTTACAGCTGGGTGTGACATTGGGAGGTGAAGCCTGGTGGGAAGATCTGGGTCGCCGTGCGCACAGCCTGGCAGGCATGCACAACCCTTTCTACCCCCTCATCTGCCACTCCAGGAGCTCGCTCTTCTCTGCCAGCCCCCTGCCCTGCCGCCCTGCCGCCCTGCCTTAGTCAGCCGACTATGGACTGAAACCTCTACAAACTTTAAGTTAAAAGAAACAAACCCTCCTCTAACTTGTGGGTGTCAGGGATTCTGCCCAACAATAAGAAAGTAAGAAAGACCAATACTATATTGTTTGATTTGCTTAGAAACACAAATAAGTCTTAAAAATATGTCTGAAATAGAGTGCTTAGCTAGCATAGTGAGGTCCTGGGCTCCATCCCCAGTGCCACATACACACACTCACAAAGTTCCTATCAAAGATTTGCTTTCTAGACTCTAGAGGTTAGTACTTTTCTTCAGTCCCCAGTAACTTCTGCCCCTGGGGGGCACTGGGCTGTGGATCCATGTTCTCAATAGCAGCTTTAGGACACACATGTAGAAATACCGAATACTTTCTCTGGTGTGAGAAATGGAAAGTGTAAATAAGGATCAAAATGTATAATAGATAGATGTGAAATAGGAAGAAAGAGTCAAGAGGGGAAGGGGAAGTGGGAAGGGTAGGGGAAAGGTATAAATATGAGAAAAGGAAAAAACGAAAACCAAGTCTTTGTAAATAGGGAGGAGTGGAGGGGATGAAGGGAGGGCAGGGGAAGGGGGGAAAAAATAACCAAGAGAGATTATGTAAAGGTACAAACTTCCAATGATGAATGTCAACATACTGTATACCTAAAATGTACCAATAAAATAAATGACAAAAAAATAATTCTAGATACAAAAACTTGGATTAAAAAACAAAGTGGATGAGAACTTTTCAAACTTAAAGCTGTAAAAGAAACCAGATTTAGGGCTTACAGAAAAGTAGAGAAGTAAGTGTAAAATAAGAATCTAGATAGCATATGATCCAGAAATTCTACTTCTATGTATATATCCAGAATAGAAAGCAGGGTCTAAAAGAGGTATTTGTACACTCATATTCCAGCAGAATTATTTACAACACCCAAAAGCAACCCAAATTCTGTCAACAGCTGAATGGATCTGTTCATCTGAATTTCAGCCTTAAAAGGACATTCTGACACATGCTGCAACCTGGATGGATCCCGAGGATACTGTGATGAGGGAAAGGAATGAGCCAGTCGCAGCAAGATGAACACTGTGATTCCACTTACCTGAGGTGCTGAGAATAACCAAATTCAAAAAGGAAATGGGAAATTTGTTTAACCACAAGTTTGAGTTCTGCAAGATGAAAGGAGGTGTGGAAGTAGATGGTTGTGACAGTTGTACAGTAGAAATGTAATTAAAGCCAGTGGATAATACACTTTAAAATGGTTAGGATGGTAAATATTACGTATATATTTACCATTTTAAAACTTTCTTTAAAGATTGCCATAATTTTTCAACAGACTGTGGCAAAAACTTCATATGCTCCAGAATAAATGAAGAATTCTTACAATTCAGTAATGAGAAAGAGAAACCAAGTTTAAAAAATAGAGGTGTGGCTGTCCCTCAGAGCAACATTAGGGCCCCTTGTGATGATGGAAATGCCCTGTGTCTTAACTATCCCAACATTAATACTTGGTTGTCATATTCTACTACTGTTTTGCAAATTAGTTGCCATGGGGAGTACTTGGTAAAGAGGACAGAGGAACTCTGGATTTATCTCAAAACTGCATGTGAATCTACAATTTTTCAAAATACTATTTAAAACAATAGGAGAAAAAAGCCCCACAGAAATGATGCTGTGCCCTTGAAGTGCATTACATCACATCAGGAGGGACCTTCAGCTGACACATGCCATTAGAGATGAGGTTTGTGAACTTAGAGCTTGACGTGGTATTTGCCTTGATTTCTCCACTGTAAAGTTACTGGGGTTTTTTTCTTTTTTTGGTACCGGGGATTGAACTCGGATCCTTGCG